TTTTAAAAAAAAAACTTTCGTACGGGTAGTGATATTTTACATTGTGACACTTAGAACTTGTTGCAACTAACCTCGAGAGACACGAATATGAATGTCCGTTTTAAGTTTATTTTTCGATTGATACAAACAAAAAATCAAATTATAGCTTAAAAAGTAACTTTTTCTACGATACTGAGTAGCTGAACATACCTCAGATTTATTGTTGCTAATGCTGAGTGTAACAATCCGATAGATTTTTACTTCTCTACTCGTAAAACACGAACGGTTCCTAAATAAGCAAATCGAGTTCCCGCAGCACTTTAAATAGCACACTGTGGCAAGGGTTTATGAAACGTGCATGGAAACTATAATATGCTGCGCTCTATTGGATCGGTCAGTAAGCACGATGTCACATCTTGCTCCTGTCACAACTAGCCCTGATCTCCACTACGATGTATACAAATTATAATTTTTTGACTTTAAGCTAAAATCTGAGCCAGGCATTTCAACAACTAAAATTATATAAGGGCAGTACAAATTGTAATTTTGATGATATGGAAATTTACAATTTTTTGATGTCAAAACCTGAGCCAAGTGTTTCATCAGATGTCAACAATTTTCAACGCATACAATCGTAAAAATGTCAAAAATTAGATAAATATTGAAAAAAGATGTAAAATTGTTATAAACATGCAAAATTATTAAAAATTGTAATTTTTTATGATGAAGAAATATGCAATTTTTTGATGATATAAAAATCTGTGCCTTTTATATACTTCTAGGAAACATTTTAGTTTTACTGGCAACTCTCGACCACTTTCCACTACAAATGTAACTGTGAAAACGTTTTACAAAGTTCGTGAATACCTCGAGCGCGGTGGCCCTCGCAGGTAGAGAGCAGCATCTGGCGACCCAAAAAAGTGCTTTTGGGCGAACAACACAAGCTCTGGAACCTGTAAATGGCACAGGTCCAATTTTCACTGATCTCTCTGGATTTAAATGGTCGTCCTTCTATGATTTCCACGTTTGAATGACTTGTTCGGGTGTAAAAACGAGGCGATTCGCGGAAATGAGTCGAGGCACAAAGCAGCCTGCGCTCTGCGGTCGCTGCCAGCAGCTGCGCGCGTCGCCTGAAGAGCAACGCCCCCCCAGCTCGCGCCGACTCTGACAATCAGACCGCTCAGCTGCGGGAGTTCAGAATAAGAGTTTTATTAAGATTTCCTCGAATGCATCGCTGAGATCTTTGGAATTTATCCATGCGGATTATAGGCATGAACTATCATTACACAGCCACAGAGGCAGTTCAAAAACTGCCATGATCCTATTCTGTCCAAAATGCTATTTTAAGATCCATCTTCTTAGGGTAATATTTTTAGTAATAGGACATATTATTCGTATTTGGTATTAGGTTCGAGCCCCGGTGGCGAGATTTTCGACACTAGCTAGATAACTAGTTCGAGTTCTTTCACTGCCCGGAGCAGAATCTTAGCTGTTCTGATCGGTTGCTTTCCGTTTCTTCTCCGGGCAACTCCAGGCGAATGCCGGAAGAGTACCCTAACAAACGGGCCATGGATCGTGTGCGATCTATCCTTCTTAAATCTTCTTCCCCCCCTACGTCCCCCCTATAATTATCTTCCCCCTACGGCACACACAGTGTTTACTGCTTTTTGACTGAATAAATCTAAATATAAAACTAAATCTTTTTCCTTGGGCTATCCTTATCCCTTTACTCAAACACACTTAGGTAATACTCCGCTAGTCGAGGATAAGTCGGCCTCGGATCTTAACATCCTGCGGGGGGAGATCACCACCTCCCGAGGGAAAACAAGCACTACACGTACGGGACCAATGACCTTAGCAGTCGAACAATCTCTTAATTGTTTGCGTTTAAATAATTGAATCAAGCAATGAAATTAAATTCGCTGAATGAATATTTTTATAAGAATACATCAACTCGGCTCAACAATATATCTTTACCTCACCGCCCCCATTTGAAAAATTCTATATGCTTGGCTGTTGTGCATTCACTTGCTCAATTTTCCTACCATCACCCCTGGGTCTTTGATTGTGAACCACTATTACTTCCTTATGCGAAAAGCGTTTGTTTTGCAAACCTGTCTACAGTTCCTACTCACGTATACACCACATATTTACTAGGCCCTAACGTTGGACGATTGGCCATAATGTTAGACGAACATAAGGTTACAGATTTTTTCAGCTTCTAAAACTGCTTAGCATCGCGGAAGACAGCAGCGCTCTGCAAAATGGTTTCGAACTCTTGGCAAATGGGGTGCAGCGCTAGCTTAAATGTCTCAACGCGTCATCAGTGCGTGTAGTTGGTTAGGAATAGTTAAAGTGAGTAATTTCCATTGCTCCAACTCATCGCTAAAAAGATTATTGTATGAAATCAAACAAATAATGTCGAAAAGCAGTTGAGAATATGCTTATTAATAAAGTAAACAAACGGATATAAAAGGACGGCATACATTACGAATTTCTATGTAGTTTTCATTCATCACGCTTTTAATTAAACACCCAATAAACAAAATTTAAATCAATGGAGTGTGTATGTAGAATATATCTTATAAAAAAGTTTTAAAGTATACTTTTCTGAAATTCTAACAACAATAAATGCAACAATATTTATCAAAGATCCTTCAATTTGCGCAAAGCCAGATTAATAGGGTATCAGACGACTCAAGCACAAGTTAACCAACATTTGTGAAATATATGCGAATTAGTTCTTTACGACATCTAAATTGGACCGAGTGTCAAAAATCGACAGCCCCCACACGAGCGCAGAGCCGCGCCGCTTCCGCGTTTTTCGTGGCTCGCGCCGTTCCCCGACGGCACCGTCCAAGTGTCAAAGGCGGAGGCGCGGACGCGTGTCGGGCCAAGGCGCGCCCGGCGGCTTTGAACTTGGGACAGTGAACTTGTCTTCTCTTGCCTTGCCTTGCTGCGCCGCGCCGCAGGCGTCGGAGTGACGCAGCGCTCACTTCGCTCCTTCGCCGCTCCCTCCTCCCTCCTCTCTCCCCTCCCGTCCCCCCTCACCCCCACGCGCTCCTCCTCGACACTGACAGCTCCGACGTGCGTGCTAGTGTAGCGCACACAAAGTATGCGTAGGGGGTGACGGTAGAGCGAGGGAACGGAAGGAAGGATAGCGGTCCGTGGTCCGGTGTTGGTGCACTGCTCTTATTCGTTTAAACGACGGAAAGGGGAGCACGTGGAAGCAAGAATTCTCTTCGGCTGAATTCGACCGAGCTATGTGACCCCCCGGCCAGAGTCGCTGCAGATTTAGCGGCAATGCTGGGTCGAAGCTAGCTCAGCCGTTCTGTTCAATTCCTCGAAACATTCCCGATTACTTCAATCACTTCACAATAACGTCTTTTCCTTCTTCCCTGGTGTGTAATGTTGTTGACCTTGAACATATATTTATTATCAGTATTAACTTTTTCCCAGCACCCCGATCCATGATTTGCGTTTCGCCATCACTATTAGTATTCAGGTTTTCCTCACCTCTCATTGTGTTTAGCTCGAGTTCAATTGATCTTTTTCCCTTCGCCACTTATCCGTGCTACTTGGTTTTTCTTCTGTTTCATCACGGTCCTTCTCTGTTCCTTCGTCTCGTGCTCTGTCCCTCGAGCGGGTCCTCTGCCGTCGCCCGCTGTGATAATGGCAGTGAAAGTTCACAGCCTCATTCGTATGATAATCACATTCCTCCGGGGAATATATGTACACGCATACAATGCCCGTGCCTTGTAAATTGAGAATAATGAACATCTCCTTAACATTCTTTATCTCAAGGAGTCTTTTCTCTACGAGGTCTTTCAGGCACCGTTTTCAAGCCATATCCTACCAAAAGAACCACAACTCCCGAAAGCTATCGTGAACTGTCTTTTGCATATTGGAAACGACATCCTATTACACACTCAAGTTCCGTAAAGGACAAAAAATAAACAAGTAAAAAACGTGACAATGAAAAATTATGTAAATCGACAGTATGAATTTGATCTGCAATTTTCATGCTGAGAATAGAGAACCGAAAAGTACCGTTAGACCCGATTTCGGGAGATTTTGCGAAAGCGTGCATGCGCACAGAGGCTGTGCCACAATATATATAAGTCATGTAATGCAATTTCAACGGAAATTCAAGTTTTGGTGTCCCCGAATATTTCCGGGGAAATCGCGAAATTATTTTCCGCAGCATTACCTAACTTTCTTTATACTGCATATATTACTCCGTATATACGTACGTATACGAGAAAGAAAAAAACGTAAAAATTAGTATGCAAATTTCAGAACTTTAATTTGATTAAGCGGGAATAGAGATCAGATTTCGGACGTTGAGAATCAGAATTGTTTATTACAAACAGTCGTTACAAAGATTAAACAATATTGCGGACAATAAAAACTTCATATTTCATAAGAAGTACTATTTCGAGGATGAACATGAAAACCAATAATTGTGACGTGACATGATTATTTTGTACTTTTAGCGTGGTAGCGGAAAGGAGATTTTGATAATAGGTGACGAATGATGAAATAGAAGACTCAGCAGGCTAATGAGTCTAATAACAAAAGTAGCTATTTGGTTTTTGTGTAAATACACTAAATTTCTGAAGAAACTGATTTTGTTTGCATTCAAAACAATGTCTAATTCGTCAAGACCGTGCCAATTGAGTAATGAGTCTTTGACGTCCCTAGTGCCCCAACTGAAGGGCATTGCCCAGCTGGGCCCTCGGCTGCGGTGGGCGTGGCCGCCCTGAATCCACGAGGGATTGCGAATGAGTAGCGGGCTGCTTGAAGCTGCGCCGGCGCCACCGATCGAGGGGGAGGGCCTGCCTTGCGAGGATGCGAAAGTGAACCACGGGCCGCGCTGAGGGGTGGAGCACAGTGAGCCAGGTGCGGAGGGGTAGGCCTTTTATGAGAAGTGAAATGGGGTGGTGAGAAGCAATAACCAGGTCGGGAATGGCTGGGACCGGCTGTGATGGAGGCAGCCGAGGTATGTGGGGTGGTGGCGATCAAGAGACGCTGGCGACGCTGGCGGCGGCGGTGGCGGTGGCGGTGGCGGTGGGATCTGACAAGGCGGTTCGAGACAATGGCGGTCGAGCTGGCAATAGAGGGGACAAAGGAGCTCGCGCGCTAACTGCATTCCGAACGGAATTAATTCCAACGCGACGCCAGCGCTGTTTTTTGGGGTGGGCGGTGCCGAGATCTCGTATCTGCGGCCTCCTCGTTAATGCAACAGAACAGACGATAGCTGCTTCAGGACACCAGCGAGCAGCATATTTTCGAACATTGCTTAATGTGACAAGTGACTGTGAGTAGGAATTGTTATTGCACAAAGATCAAGCCAGGGGGCTCGGCAGGCTTCTTAGAATTTCCAAATAGTGCACGGAGATAGTTCATCCCATGCGTTCCGAATTAGAAATAATGTAATGGTAAGATAGTTTTGCTGGCCTTTTCGAAATAAAACCCGATTCTTGAGCCATCGTTGATCTGAACATGAAATGTAAAAATACTCGTCCCACGCGCTCTAGTGTAAACGGGAAATGTGAAGCTATTTATCACAGCAATCTTTTGTGTTTTCGAAAAACTTTATTGAAAATCTTTCAAAGCACTTCATTTCACAAATGCAATAATGTATTCAGGTCGTTGGAAATATATTAATGGCGTAAAAGATTAAAAAACATTGCGTAATTTTTGAAAAAACAAAAGAATACAGAAAGTGAATGTAATATCATCTTCAATAGTGCAATTTACACTAAGCTTTGGAAAAGTTTGAAGAAAAAATGTGAAGCTTTTTTTGAGAAAATAGCGTTTATATGTTTTTGAAAATGTTTTCGTAGAAAAGTTTTGAGTTTTCCAGAAAGTTATATAATTTCAAGCACGTGTACTAACAAATTCAATAAGGTCAACGAATCGCCGCTAATGAAAATAAGAACAGCCTGAGAGACTAGTCACAATTTACATTCGTGCATTTTTTAAATGAAAAGAATAGAGTAAAATGCCATTTGTGTCATGAGAATGAGTCAACGAGTCTCACTCTGAACACCATAGAATCAGCACCCGATTGCTGTTTGCGATCGTCGTTGCAAGCAGAGCTCTTAGAGCGGCGGTAGAGCGCCGGTGCTGACGGCTGCTGTAAGGTGTGGCGGTTGCGTGGGCGTTGTGGCGGCGCTGGGCCCCTTACGCAAGGCGAGGCGCCGCGCATCCCACATCGCTCGCAGCCCAAATACGGACGTAGCGAGCACTCGGGTGCGGCCGCACTCCAGGAAGCGGCCACATCGCCTGGAAGCAGATCACGCGGGGGGGGGGGGCAGGCGGCCAGGCAGTGGCAATGGAAGGACATGTTCCTGCTATTTGTGTTTACAAGTATTTAAGTGTGTGTGTGGGTGGGTGTGGGTGTGTGAGTGTGTGTGTTGATAAGAGGAGGGGGGGGCGGATGGTGAAGAAACGATTGAAGTCGATGGAAGACACTAGTGATGCAACAGAATGGCACATACGTTCTCATAGTAAAGTGTTTTCATTTCCTTGGTGTGCACTGGTTTTATGGTCTTGCCCCACTCTCTTGCCAGCTGCCATGTATCGTCACCAAAAATATATTTTTTGGACATTTTCGACATTTTTCGGTTGCCTAATAGTATGGCAGAAATATTAATTTAAGGATATTAAAAAAGAGTAAAACCTCGTCATGAATGGCAATTTGTATTGAAAAATGTGGAGCCATTTTAAAGAAAATGTTTAAGCGTTTCTGTTATTGCGAAATTTGAAGCTATTTTCACAGAACATTTTGATTTCCGAAAAATTTCATTTAAAATCATTTTAGGCATATCAATTCACAAATACAATAGTGTTTACAAAATGCTGGAAATATGCATATTGACGGCATAAGAGTTATTAAAAACTAGTGGAACTGCCAATGGATTGTTTCTAAAAGCTCCGTAACATTACATTACTACTTAACCAGCTCGAACTCATATCCTCAACGTTAACAACTTGCTTCTCATAGCACTACACCACACAAGCGCATCATGGGTGAATTTGAACAAAGGAATAAAAAGGTAGTATTTGCGATTAGAATTGCTTCAAATGGTTTTCAATAAAGTGAATTGAATGCTCAATTATTTCTTGCGGCAACACAGAATTGTCACATATAATAAGATCATGTGAAGACTCCAACCAGCCAACCTTCCTTCCGAAGAGCTGGACCCGTTCCCTTCAATTCAGCCACCTCGGCCCTCCCGCTGGGTCACGAGACAAATGCTTCTATAATAGCAATAAGTGCATGGTGGTTTCTGTTCTAGCATTACGAAGCAAAGTAATTCAGAAAATGTGGGAGAAAAAAATGTTTATCGGGCGAAGAAAGGAAAAAAAGCAGCTGTGAAGAGAATGAGGCTTGTCGCAAAAGTTAGTCAAGAGTAGAGAGATTAGAAAACTAACTAGGGCGAAAAGGTCTGTGCTATTCCATAGCACCACTAGTTAACTATTTATTTATTTATTTGATATGTTGGGCAAGCAAACAAATTTACTGTGAATACCAAACAAATATCCTGTGAACAATGTACCAGAAATCATCGACTTTTTCACAAATACCAAGAATTTCTTCAAATAAGCAACATATGAGAAACCTTCCAAATAATGTTCTTTCCCTACACAACTGAAAAATGTAATTTGTATTAACCACCTTAGGTGAAGCTTAGTGAAACACATTTTAGAGACTATAAAGAAATCTACGTGGAGAAATATTATCTCCAAATTCAGGAAAATAAGATGAAGTACAATGGTTTAATAAACAACATATCATATAAATTGAATTTAATTAATTACATTATCATTTGACACTTCCACTTCGGGATGATATCAAAGATTTTTCTATTTCTAATACATTTTGTTCTCTTTGTCTCACGTGGCCTTTCCCCAACATCTTCTGTAAGTCAAATTTCAACACGCCTGTCTCCACTTTTCAAGAAAAGGAGTTTGCAAGTGGCCAAGAGCTTCCCCAGACTTTGCTATTTTCTTTACCATGCGCTTGGAAACCGTCTTCATGAAACTCACCTCTTTTGCATTTTCTTTGGTTTCATTACATATATGTTTCGATTTTACAAGATGGAACAGAAATGGCATTATCAATAAAAATACTTTTTGATATTCCAATGTTATTTACAAAGCTATAGAATGCCTGCACATCAACCAATTCATTATGTGCATTACTAAATTCAAAATTGCTTAGCAAGTCTTTGGCCAAGAAGTTCAAATTAAAATTTAACTTTTGTTTCTTCCTATCTGGTAACACTTGTTTAAATATTCTGACGAAATCAACAAATCCAAAGTCAACATCTCTGAAAGAGTCAAAAAGACTACAATTTACCGTATCCCACTGATTGGAAAATCAAAACTAAAATCATTATGAACAACCAGAATTTCACCTGACCCAATAGACAAGAACTCAATAAATTAACTAAGGTATCATGCTTTGACACTGTTCTCACATTTTGTCCATTAAAAAGGATTTCCCCCTGAACAAGTTTTTAGTTGGGTAATTTCTGACACTTTTTCTGAAATACCGGTTGTTGGGATGATGTATTCATTAAATTCTCCATTCTTCCACTTTGCAGCAACCTGTCATATTTCTGAATATTTGGCAGATAAACCATTGGTTTCAATATCTATTAATATTACATGTTCTTCTGGAGTGAAATGTTTAATTGGAATATCAATTACGTTACTTATATTGTTCATTCCACGTCCAGTTGAGAAAGTAATTCCTTCCTTTGTCTCTGTCGCTCCGCTAGTTTGTGAACGTTTTTTTCTTTAAAAATAAACTCCGTCTCTTAAACTCGGGGTTCTGGGCATTCACAGCTCTATTTTCTCTTTTCACTTCTTACCAGTTGAGCCAGGTGACAGTTGCAGTTGTTTATATACACTGCTAATATAGGAGGTTCCTATATTTTTCTGGCCAACATCTGCTGCTACTCGAAAGTCATATGACTCAGTAGTTCCATAATAACGAGACTTTGGAGCCTTGCTAGCAACTACGGCGTTCGAAGATTCATTGCTCTGTCTCGAGCCATATGGAGATAATTTTTCTACGTCTAGCAAAAATTCATCGAAATTGATGTCAGCATGTCCCTCAAATGTTGCCCTTGTAATCCTTTGCCATTTGATAACTCATTGACTTAAAATTCACGCGATAATTTATGTATCGACACCATTTCCCACATTTTCCATGTTCATCAAAAGCATGAGAAAGAATATTTGCTATAGCAAATCTTGTGGCTTCCACGTAATTTGTGTTCTACTTTACTACACATCTGAGGCAAAATTGCATATACTCAATAACATTCTTATTGACTTTAGCTGCCCACAGAGCTCAACTTAAATTCTTTGTGGCATGATTTAAATCTGACCATTCAATCACTGAATGATCAGATTCTCTTCTAACAGCAGCACTTGTTGCACTACCATCGTCACCAATAAGGGAGTCCACAACACAACATTTTCTTTCAGTTGACGTTTCTAGCCATAATTTGCACTGTGATATCAGGCCCTATTCCTTTAGCATTCTGCCTTCCCAATTCTTCCGGCAGTTATGATCCTACACACTCCTGCCAATCTCATAATCACAGAGCTTATTTCTGGTCCCATAGGCCAGAACTTTTCCAGACTTCATTCCTGTCGAAGACCCAAAACCTGAAATGCAGAAAATGATCTTAATTTTTATCGGTCAATAAATATTCATAAATTATAATATTAATGGTCAAATAATTTATGACATTATAGTACAAATTGTACTTATTTTGCAAAAATATACAATTGCATGTTCATGATATTATAAATAAGTTATTAAAAAATTACCAGAGAGGCTGTTGTGCTTTAATTCCTGGCATATTATCCATCGACGATTGCTTATAGAAAGAGTAGTTACCTATGAATTGTGAAGAAATAAATTACCGGTGAACTAATTATTATCATTTTATAAATAAACAGGAATAATTGTAATCTCACATTATTTGGACATTTCATTATTTCAAATACTTACAGGTGTTCATCATTATTGAGCTCTTTACAGGATTCAAATCCTGTCGTATTGTCCAACGATGATTGCCTATAAAATGAGTAAATTATTATGAATTGCGAAGAAAAAATTACTGGTGAAGTAATTATTATTGTCTTATAAATATTGAAAATTTTACCATTATGATCTCACATCATTTGAACATCACACAATTTCAAATACTTACGATTTTTCATCTTTCATGATTTTCTCTTCCTGTATACTACTAAGGCAATTATCCTGAGCAACAGATTCTATAGCGGCACGAACTTTAGGTTCCTTAAGTTTCATTGTTCAATGATGTGGAAATAATTAGTGATGACAACACAGTATTCAATTGGCAAGTATCAATTCCATCATCAATGTGAGCTGAAATGTATTTTCTCATATAAACAACCTATACAATGTAGGGTTTAAAAAAACAATGAAATCATTTTTACTTACCAATGCTAGCTTTTAATTAATATCATAGGGCGCTTTACCCTCACCCCACGCTTTCGGCATTTTATGATGAATACAGATGCCAATCCATAAATTGTTTCCTTTTCAATAAATTCCAAAGAAAGAGTCGCATCACACACAAGCATAACAATTGTTTGGCGAATTATTCAATGTGCACGATCCGACGACCATCGACAGCAAATATTTCTTCTTTGAACGTTTTGTTTTACGTTTTTTCGTTTTGTGTCTACCGACAAATATGTTTTTCACGAGAACTTACGTTTTGTAACCTTTATATCTTAACTGTTTGTTCACGATTTTCAAGTTATACTTGTAAGACCCAATAAGACCTATAAACACAGTTCAGCTCAACTCATACCACACACGCACTGTTCTCCAGCTGTTCTTTACGTTCTAGACCTTTTTGTTGCCTTCCCGACAACGTAAACCATTGGTACCAATATGATAAATATATACCACTGCCAAGTTTATTTGCCTGAACCTCATCAGTTCTTGAAGGAGTTCATTGTGATCGAAAGATATTACTCTTGAAACATTACTGTATATGTAAGAAATGTCATACTTAAAAGATAATTGAAATTTGAAGAGCAATGCAGTCATACATAAACTAGTTATTACATTATTCCAGTACTCGTATGTTCAGTGTTTCATGTTGGTATTTCAAGTGCAATTAACACTTTTGCATTTCAAATTGCATTTATAAAAAACACTTTTTAATACATCATTTAAAAACACTCGTTTACCAATAGACGCGAAGTACAGAAATAATTTACTTGATTCTCGTTCTTCACTTTTTAAAAAGCACGCTCCAAATTACAACTTTTTGGTCAGCTGACTAGAGAGTAATGCGACAATCACCTAAATTAATTTAATTATAATTATCGTTTTAATTATATTTTATTGAAAATAATTTTCCGAATCACCGGATGTCTTCTAACACTAATAAATTCAATATTTTAATAGAAACAATTTGGTAGTGAATATACCACAATTGTTGCATAATTAACCAAATTGAATAATCGGAAACCTTAACTGTCCACAATAACTGCTACCGCTACCTTTCAGTTAGAGAACTTTCAAGGATACGCCCGTATTAGAATGGATCAATAGGTGAAAAATAGCGTTTGAAATGCAGGACTATTTTCGCCATTCATAAACTCCACCAAGTCGTATAAAGAGCTATTTAGTAGCTTGGCTTGGCGGGAAGCAAGGGAGAGCGAGCACAGCTTGGACGGCGCTGCAGCCAGGACGTTAGCGCCACGCGGCGCGGGCAGATCCGCGCCAACTGAAGCGCTCCCCGGCCACGTGCGCGTGGGCGTCACGCGGCGCGCAGGGCGCCGAGCGAGTGGGAGCGCGGGCGCGGGGGCGGCGGCGGGCGCGAGCGGGAGCGAGGAGCGCGCAGGGCGGCGAGGGCGGGCAGCGCGGGGCGGCTTGGCGGAGCCGGGCGCCCTCGCCGCGCTCGCCGCCAGCAGAAGACGGCCCGGCCGCGAAGCCCAGCACGGACACGACGGCGCCACCCAGCAGCACGGCGCGCGACACAGCGGGTGCCGGCGGCATGCGCACCCACAGGATGGGGCACAGCAGGAAGCAGGCCATGGCAGCGCGCCGCCCGTCGCCAGCGGGCACGCATCGGGCGCACGCGCGGCGCCCGGCGCCACTGGCCCTTTCGCCTCGGCGTCCGCGCCCCACGCCTGCGCACGGCACGCGCGCTCAGACCACTCACACCCCCTCACCCTCTGACCCCAAGTCACATACCACCTTGCTACATCTCACCATACCACCCTCACCTCACGCCACTTGGCATCCCACCCCTCCTCACATTATCTCACCTCACACCACCCCCTCACCTCATCCTACCACACCCCACCTCACCTCATTTCATCTCGCCTTCCCCGCCTTAATCACCGCTCATCACGTCACCTCACCTCCTCCTTCTCAATTCACCCCCCACTCATTTCACCTCACCTCGACTCCCACAACACACAGTCACTTACATTACACACTTACATTTGCTGCAACTGGGAGGAAAAACCTAAGGGCTTCCCTAATCTTAGAAATCATACAACTATATTTCTAATTTCGAATGCGCTCAGAATCTAAAACAACACATCATTGAATGACACGTGTCTGTGGTTTCATTTGATAGCAAAAACTCAGGAAAAATACAAACACCTCTACATTATTAATTTCCGATGCGCGTAGAAATTGATAGGCAACCGTGCTTCATCCGGTCAATTACTTTCTTTCACTCCTTTGACACTAACTGAAGCTACAGCGCAAACTACTTTCTTTCGCTGCAGACGATAAACGAGTACATTTGAAGTGTGTTTTGGGGGCAAGAAAATTTCAAAATGTAAGCCAAAACGTGAATCAAGAATTCATCATTGAATAACTAACAAATAAAATCGTGAAGTTGCAACAATACAGGTACATAAATTACTGAATTATCAAAACTGCCGGTCAGTAATGCAAAAAATTCCTCTGTTCCAGCAACGTACTACACACTGGTTCGTAAAAAAGTTAGTTTTAAAATTACTGAGATCCCACTTTCATTTTTTGTTCAGTTGTCAACCATACGTAAATATAAAAACATTGATATAAAGATATTTATAAATGCTATTTTTGAGAAATAAAAATTAATTTAAAAAAAATACTTCTACTACGCTCAAAATTACACGGCCCTACATCATTCTCTTAAGCGATCGTTATCCTAAGTACAATGTTAATCAAACAATTTGATGCCATATTTTTAAAATTTTGAAAATGTCGGAGGCCAAAATTAAAATATTGGCTTCAAATTCAAGGGTCATCGATATCAGGTAAAACGATTGCAAATTATATATTTTTGAGAAAATCGGATGAACAGTTTATGCAACAGCATTGTGCACAGACCGGCTAAGAGACAGACGTTTTTGTGGCAAGAAGGCACAAAATGTGGATTCTGGCTCTACCACAGTTTAGAGGAATTTTTTCTATATTTAGTAAGTGGATTTATCCACTTTTTAGTTTGCAGGGCCCGGCAGTAAGAGGTTTTTGGGTCGAAAATTTGCCGTTTTCCGGCGCACGATTACAATACTTTCCCTGAAATAAGAGTTTATCTGCAGAAAATTCGCCGTTTTTTTACGCAGCATTCTATAACTTTCTCTCTACTACATAAGCGGAAGCATTGCAAATGGTCTCACCTAAGAACTCATTTCTAGGTTCTGCGGCTACGTTGTGTTTACGTTTAAGTTTGCATTGTGAATGTGGCCTAACGGGACAAATGACCTTATCATTTCACGGTCCCGGCAACCAATTAAGCGTACGGGTGATGCAGGGAAGAGCGCACCTGTCTGTCGAGCTTCGTGCTTCCGAGCGATTGCGAGCGGGGGCGGTGCGGCGAGAGCGGCGTGGGCGGCGAGGGCGGCGGGGGCGGCGAGGGCGGTGGGCGGCCGCGCCGTGGCGAGACCGCGAGCCGCCGCCCGCGCCGCCGCTGGCGGCAATAGACGAAGACGGCGCCGACGGCGCCGGCCCACAGGCAGATGGCGGCCACGCTCAGCACCGCGGCGCCCGCCACGTACGTGTCTTGGGGGGCGAGCAGCCACAGCATGGGGCACATGAGGAAGCAGGCCACCAGCACCACGCAGCCCAGCGCCAGCGGCCCCAGCAGCAGGCAGCGCGCAACGCGCCGCCGCCACCCCGCGCCCGCCCCCGCGCCGCTCTCGCTGCTCGCCTGCGCACGCCAGCGCACGCCCGGCTTACGGCTCTCTCCACGACGCCACGAACTCACGCCGAAATGGTTTTTTTTATATGGGCTTGGCCATTGGACGTCTGCAGCCGCATAAGATAAATACACTGATGCACGATATTTACAAGAAATCATTTGATACGAAATATACAAAATTCTTGGTAGAAATACGATACAATATTGGGGTTATATAGTTCATAATGAAGAGATTCCTCACTTTGTGTCTGAGGGGAGTCGAAAAATTCTCCAGGTAAATCTCTTGCGATGCGGATTCAGCTTAACTAAGTTAAAGTGAAGTGCTAAAGGAATCTTGAATAATTTACAATACACATTTTTGGATTGGAGGGAAAAGTGGACGGAAATGGGTGTAACGCCAAGCTCATTATGTAGCTCTGCAATTGGAATTTACTAGGAGTTTTTGTGATGGTGAAACACTAATCATTTCATCGACACAGAAAAGCGAAGGACCTTCTCATTAAACGTACATCACCTTTTTGCTCAGATTACATCCCTTTGACCACCACCCTTCGAGCGTCAATTTTCCGGAACATTTGCCCGGTTTCTCTAGAGTTGTGGGATTGGTTTCTTTTGTTCCGATTTGAGTGCGCTCGAATGCATTGAATTCTGAGGTGATGTAACTAGTGTGGTGAGAAATGAATATCACTGGCTATCACTTGTAACTGTGTTCTCGTTCTTACTTCTCGTGCCCTGACCTTATTTAACTTCATTTGTTTCAGCAATGTTCAACTGTGCAATGTTCAACAACACGCAATGTTCAACTGTTTGATCTTCAGCGCCTCTGACGGCATCCGGAGGAAACATTCTTATCGCGACTACGCGCGCAAACGAAATGGCCCTGGTTCTCGTTCATCCGGTGTCGATATGGACACAGTTCCGCGAAGAAACAAATGTTCCTCTTCTATTCATTTTCTTCACTGAAAGTCGAAAAAGGACCTTGCAAAAAGGACTTAAGACTAAACCCCAAGACTTGAAACGGACCTCTCCTCTCACACAATTTTTCAAACAATTTTTCAAGTTAAATTGAAACGCACTGAATAGTACTATCCTATCGGACATCTGTGTTGTTGTGAGGCAACTAGATTTGAAAGTTTGAAAAAAAACTAATAATATCTTCACAGTTTGTAATGTGTTTCTAGCTTGATAACAATACCATATTAATTACAGAGAATTAGGGAAATGTCACCAATTTTAAGTTTATGCTTACAATGATAGAGAACAATATTTTCATGTTTATTTAAAGTAGATTGAGGTACTAGTGCCTCTCACGATTTATAATTTCACACTTCCGTCTTCCTGCTGAGCAGTTGCTCTGCATGTGGCGAACCCAGGGATTTGTAGCACGGTGATAAAGGTCGATGCGATTAAATTTAAATAAATAATATTCAGTTAAGAATTGTTCGTCATTATTTTGACAACTGGCTTGCAGATTAGCGTCATTGCACTAATCTTAGAGCTCTGAAAGTTTGCTTCTCCAGTGTCCCGTGCATAGGGAACTCTAAGAGCGCCGCACGGTGGTCCAGACTCAACTTGTAGGCGGCAGAAATTCAAAAATGAAATGCAATTAAATTCGATTTTATTCCACATAATGCCCTTTCATCGACTTCTAACAACAACAAACAAGTATTTGTTAAGAAATCTTTACGTATTTAGAAGCATTTCTCGAGAGTTGAAGTTTTGATGTTAGGTTTTCTTTTAAAGTTGAATTCACTCAGTTTTTTAATTCAGACAAATTTCAGATAAGAATGAGGAATAGATTGAAATGCTTTTTTCAATGTAATATATTAATTTCATAAAAAGTAATAGCTATTAGGTAATTATTTTAACGATGTATGTGTCCTCTGAGTTATAAATTTTATTTATCGATATTAACAGAATGGGCTAACTTCCGCCGAAGAGTATAAAAAATTAGCAAATGCAAAAGTAACTATTCACACTACTTCTATTATATAAAAAGTAACTATTGACACATCTCCCGATACGTACTTCAGTAGAAATTACAGACATCTGAATGTATATAACCAGGTTAGTAAATTTCCATGTGACGTTATTGTTCAAAGATTATAATTTGATTGTTGACACAATTTCACAGATTTTTCATTAAAAATTCAATCTGTGTGTGTGATGGTAAAACCCTCTCCCCCTTTAATGGCATTTTGAATTTATTTTCCACGCAGATTCCCTCCTCCCCGTCCGCCATCTTGGTACTTTAAAGAGTTGGTTTGTGCCGCGGCGGAGTCGAGCGATCGGGAGCGCGGGCGGTGGCGCGGGCGGGGGCGGGGGCGGGGGGACGCGCGGCGCTGCGGCCAGTAGAGTCGGCGAGCGCGGCGGGCGGCCCGCCAGAGCGAGGCTGGGCGGCGCCAGCATGACGGCGCCGGGGTGTGCCGTGCCCGGGGGCAATGCGCACCACAAGCATGGGCACATGAGGAAGCAGGCCACGAGCACCGCGCCGCCCAGCGCCAGCGGGCCCAGCAGCAGGCAGCGCGCCGCCCGCCGCCGCCAGCGCCGCCCCTCGCGCCGCCCCTCGCGCCGCGCCTGCGGCCAGCCAGCAACGCTCTAAGAGCCCGCGTGGGCGGTTAGCGTCCACACAATTTACATT